TTGCTGAGGTAGTTTTTTGTTGTTGTTTAGCAGATGTTTGAGCCCTTTCCCTTTCCCCCCCATGACATCACTTTTAGGGAGTGTGTGTCAGATTACAGCTACAAAAGGCAGCAGGAATAAAAGGCTTGTTGTCTTTTGAACAAGCTTTTCTTGAAGGGTTTCAAACAGAAAGTGACAGAAATAGAATATGAGAAGATGCCTAAAGAAAGGAAGGGTTTCTGATTCTGTTACCATGAGTAAAGCAGTCTTTTACCCAGTTTATTTTTACATTACATTGTTATATTAACCGCTACTTTGTTTGTAATGTGCAGAAGCACGCAGAAAGTGTTATTCAAACAAGCCAATGTGAAAGTAGACGGCTTGCTGGATGTTAAATATATTTTATTTGAAGTTTCATGAGGAAAATTGACACCATTTGTTGATTTTATGCACGCACACAATGAATATAAACATGATTATTTCCCTTTAAACCTCACATTAAAGAGGTCCAATTGTGCTTTTTTGGTGTTTTCCCTCTCCTGTAGTTTGTTATATAGGTTTGTGTGCATCTCAATGGTCTGCAAAGGCTTAACCCCCCCTCAATGTGGTTTTAGCAGCTAAATCAGTCAGAATATACCACTTATTTTACTGTAATTCAAACTTTAAAACCAGGAAAAGACAACATTCACAAGATTAAAAGATGTTTTATTTATATATTGCCCAGTCCGAGTTAATTATTCACTAAAGAATTATAAACTAATGCTTTAAGAAAATGTTCATTAACTTTTTTGACACACACACACACACACACACACACACACACACACACACACACACACACACACACACACACACACACACACACACACACACACACACACACACACACACACACACACACACACACACACACACACACACACACACACACACCTTTCAGGAGTGTGTCAGACGGGAGGAAAGTAGATCCGGCAGAAAATAGTCCCAAGCTGCTGGGCTTTAAGAGCAGAACAAGTCCACCTACTTTGTGTTCTTTCACATGTTTAAACTCTAACAGAACAGCTGATTTATCCGTCTGTAACTTGCTTCTTTCTGAATCACGAGGAGTTTCAACATCAAACGCATCTCGCTGGCTCAACCTCGCTCAGTCCATGTGCGTCAAATTAAACATTGAGTGCCAGGTGAGTCAGAGGCGAGGAGAAAAGTTGAAAAACTTACCTGAGACGATGCTCTGGCTTACGTCGACCTGGGAACAGAAAGAGATTGTTAATAAAAGGCCTGAACATTCTTTTTTTAATGTGCGTTTTTTTTAGTTTCAAAATGCTTTATGGACTTAAAAATGGGCATAAATGCTATTTTCTGGCTTTTTCACTTGTATTTTGATCACATCCATCTTGTTTTCCAACTACATTTAATATATTTTCTGTGCTATGCACAAGAGATGGTTACACAGATCAAATACTTATTAAATCAGAATAAAATAGGGGATAGTGCAACAACAAGAGGCACCAGTACAAATAAAAGCAAGACATAATAAATAAATAAAAAATAAATAAAGCGCTTTGAGCACCAGGAAAAGCACTATACAAATTAAATGTATTATTATTATAAGTAAGTAAAGGAAACATAAGTCAAATCTATATAGTTTACAATTTAAATGACATAATACACATAATAAAATGAGAATTTGTCTTTGAATTGTTGTTTGAAGGAAGGTTTGTAAGCAACGTGTCCCTTCAGTTGTTTGTCGTTTTAATTGAAAACAGTCCTCTGCGGAAAGGAAGTGATGCGTCCTGTGTTTCCAGTTTGTTCCTAATTTACAGTAAGAGTCGTGGTGCAAAATAGCGCCACCTACAATCCAAAAATAATCCTAGGAGAGAAAGATGCCACTGTCCATGTTGGCACTGAATCACAGGTGACTTCTGGGAAGTGTAGTTTAACAGTATCGTTAAGAAGCGACAATCAAAAAGTCAAAGGTAAATTACTATGTCTTCAACCTCGCCTCATAGTGAGAAAATAGATGGATAAGTAAATAGTTTAAGCTGTCTTTCTGCATCCGTGTGCATTTAATCATCTCCTACCTCCTTTCTTTTAGTGATAATCAGGTCGGCTTTACGTCCTGTAGTCTCCAGAGAAACAAAATACTAACGGTTTTGTAAAATAACACGTCTTTCTGTTAAAAAACGCAAAAAAAACCCTCTTTTCTGATTCCTTCTTCTCTGCCTCCAGTCTCTCTCCGTCTCTATAAACTCTGACTGGACCTCCTGTGTTCCGTCCCAGCCTCCCTATTGGCCGAGAGCACCCAGGAAGTGGCGCTGTGATTGGCTGCTGAGGGATTCTGCTGCAGTCATCAGGAGTTTTTTAACACTTCCAGATGTTTGCTCTGCTGCAGGCTGGAGCAGCGTTCAAACATGCAAATGCACAGCGCAGCAGATTTTCATTTAACGCTCAACGTCATCGGTTGGGTTTCTTTTTCAGCACTTTATATGAATAATGGGTCCAAAGAGTACGCGGCTATCAACTCAAAAAGGGTTTAAACATCTTTCAACTCCTCTTCACTTGACTTTTTAGACTGGTTTCCAGATGGTTACAAGAACAAAGCTGTACAAAGATGATGAAATTGGACATTTAGCAGCTAAAGAGACGTTTATGGATGTAGGAAGGGACTGAAACGGAGCAAAAAGAGCGTGAATATTGGAGTTAAGCATGTATCAGGTGGACAGGTACACCGCTCGGGCTTGTAAATGTAAGTTTGTTTTTGCCCTTTTTGGTAAAGAACACAACTCAAAAAGGGTTTAAACATCTTTCAACTCTTCTTAACTTAACTGTTTAGACTCATTTCACGCAGTTTACAAGAACAAAGCTGGAGAAAGATGAAGAAATTAGACATTTAGCAGCTAAAGAGACGTTTATGGATGTAGTAAGGGACCAAAAACGGAGCAAAAAGAGTGTGTTTTTACTTAAATAAATAACTTAATTAAGAATCATTACATATTCTAACCTTATTGTTTTAGCACCAAACACCTCTTCATGTCAAGGCTAATCATTCTCTGCTTGTGCTGTCAATGAAACACTTTTGACTATTTAAAACATAAATACTATTTTTTTGAGAAATGTAAGTTTGTGTGTGTCCGTTTTGGAACAGAAAGAGTTCATACAAAAACAGATAAAAACCAAGAAGTGGAAAAGTCCAAAAACATATATAAAATATAAGGAGTGAATAAATACTATAAAAAGGTACTGTTATAATAAGAAATTAAAAGCTGTATAATTCATTCAAAATGTCGACGAGCCAGAACATCTTTCTCCTTCCTTTAAACCTGAGAACATCTTTTCTGTTGTCTCGTAAAAATGTAAATATTTAAATAACAACAAAGCTGAAATTGAACATGACCTTTTGATTAAACTGCATTTCCCAACTCTAAAAGGGAGGGGCGAACACATTGAGAGGCCAGAGAAATTAATCACAGATTGCAGTTAAGTCATGAACCACAGAGCTGGAGCGCTGCACAAAAACTAAATACTTTCCCATGTGAGGTTTCATTAAAGCGGGGCTTCCAAATGGTTTCAATCAAAGACTATTGGATGTCATATTTTTAAAGATGATCTGATGAAAAGTCACTCCAAATGGCTTGTTTTTATCCCGTCTATTACACAACCACAGCTGACACAGACACATGCTCCTAATCTTGACGTGTGGTGCAGTGGGCTGTGCGTTGGTGTTTGGATCAGGGGGTCACAGGTTCAAACCCCACTGCAGTCAGCATGTCGTTGTGTCCCTGAGACACTTCATCCCAAAGTGCTCCTGTGGGGATTGCCCACAGTATTGAGTATGGAAGTCGCGTCTAACAAGTGACATGTACTATGTTTTAACACTCTTTCTTTAAGTATGAACATGTGTTTATTGTTTGCCACAGAGGAGGACAGATGTTATTTTTGATGTTGGATGTTTTTAAATGTGTTTCTGTAACGCACTTCCCTGTCAGATCAACTGTCTCCTATTGATTGAATTTGAACTTCCCATTTCTACTACTTTTGTTTATTCTAAATAAGTTGGAAATAAGTGAGAAATGCAGATACAACTTATATATGTAATTAAATATCAATTAAAGCTAATTAAATCATGATATAGCACATATTGAAGACATCTAGTCAAGGAACTTATCTGGGAACGTTTTGCCTTTTTATGAAAGCTGACGGAGGATTTAATAATTGACAGAAAGCTAATAATTGCCCGTAGTTTTGGTTTCCAAACATCCGAAATGCAAAGAACAAATCTCCCTTATACAAACCCTTAAAGGAAAGGAGTGAAACGTTTGGAACAAAGGATCATTATAATGCATCGAAAGCTATAAAAAAAAAGGGTTGAATATTCAGAAACCAGTTAGATTTGGCTTGTAAAATAGATACTAAAATGTAAATTTTGACTATTAATTCAAGTTATTTTATGCTTTTATCACGAGGGTATTTGTGACAGTCACATCTTAAAAGCTAACACTACAAACAGCTAGCGTCTCACTGAAACCCCCTTGTTGGGTGATGTAAAGCAAATAATAGCAGACGCTGCATGTAGAGCTATAATAAGGGGTGGATTCTTTCATTTTTTTAAACTAGGCGTGGTTTTTTTCATCCTAGTATCGCTTCATTAAAGAGGCCTGAACTTGTGTTGTAATCTTCTCAAAAGCCCAGAGATCGTGGCATCATCTCTACACTTCTCTGACTGAGAAAAACTAAAACAATATCCGTGAAGAGTCACTTTGGATGATAGCCTGTGTTTCTCTGATGGCTGTGAGTGTTGGCACAGGCCTGCATGTTGATGCATGACTTTATGACCGAGTTCACACACACACACACACACACACACACACACACACACACACACACACACACACACACACACACACACACACACACACACATACATAGGTTATTTGCTAAAATTGTCTGGTGAGAACAGGGGTACATTCAGTTACCCTTTTCCCACAAAGGCCCGGGGGACCGTTGGGCGTTGCTTTCACATCATGGCGTCAAACCGCGTGGTGCTTATAAACAGAAGACTTGGGCCGCGTGACGGACCCCCGAAGCCTAGACCCACGTGACAAATATTGTTTACATCACGCTATCACCGTTCCACGGGGTTTCGCCCCATGAGTTAATCAACACACAATTTTCTTCTCCCGCACAATGTGTTAGTGTGAATACTCGATAAACAGAGCGTTTGCTCTGGACTCACTGATTCTTTGGCCACGATCGCTATGACGAATCACGATTATACGATCGCCCGAAGTCCGGCGCGGCGACGCCCACATTTCCAATCGACACCGTGCCCTTATACACAAACAAAGGACCTCACGTCAGAAAGTCCGTGTAGCGGACACAGAAAAAAATCCAAATAACTTGTAGCTGGCCTGCATATAATTACACTCTAGGATGTGGGGATATTTGATTCAACCCGGACAGTTAACTTACGAAATATTTGGTCAATTTGATGTCTAACAGTAACACTTAACCTTTGACGTAAATTTAACCAACAATTTCCAAGTGCAAAGTTCATACCAAGTCCGTTCACAACCAGCAATGATCCTTAACTGTATAAAATTCGAGTTTATTGCAACGGACATACAAATTTGGAGACGCTGTGTAAAACTGTACAAAGTCAAGTCGTGTAGAAATAAAACACTACTAAATTTCATGAGTATAGGTCTAATTATATGCATGAGCGGAAATAGAAAAACGGAAGTCAAATCGGAAAACTGGTTAAAGATAGTATAGTGATCAAACGTGTACTACAGTGGACAAAATCCTATCCTGTTACAAAATTCCTAGAGAACAAGACTTCGCAGTCCATCGGGTGCCACAACATCAAACTTTCAGACTCCTCTACATTGACTGAATATGTTTACAAATTTTACGGAGAAAAGTAGGGACAGAACTCCCTTTTGAGGGTTTTTCGTACCTGTCCGCTCAATAACAATGGGTTATGTTATGACAAATTAGAAGTCGTAGACATGTAGATATTAAACTCGTGGGTTTAATAACTTTTCTTCCTATTCTCAATAGCTTTTCCACACACACACACACACACACACACACACACACACACAACACACCACAACACACACACTACAC